CAAGAGAGTGAGACTCTGTCTCAAAAAAAAAAAGAAAGACTTGGCTTCTTAACAAAAATGATGCTATCATAATTTTATCTTCTGTGTTTACTAAAGCAGGACTCCACAGAAATCTGTTCCTTGAAGTTTTAGTTACTGTATGTTCTCAGAAGGTTTTGAAATAAAAAGAAAAAAAGCAACTTTCTTTTCTCTTAGAGATGGGGTCTGGCTGTCACCCAGGCTGGAGTGCAGCAGTGGCACGATCGTAGCTCACTACAGCCTGGAACTCCTGGGCTCAAACGACCCTCCTGAGTAGCTGGGATTACAGGCAGGAGCCACTGACTCGGCTTATATTTTTTCTATTTTAAGATTTCCCCTCCACTTTACACAACTTCTCCCAGGTTAGTCCAGAGCAGTGAGATTTAATTTTAGGAGTGGTTAGAATTCTGGACCTTTTTCTGTCACTTACTGACCTTGGGCAAGATATTAAACAGAGCCTCAGTTTTTCATGTGTGAAATGGGGATAATAATAGTACCTACCCCATAGTTATTGTAAGGGGTAATCTACATAAAGCAGTTAGCCCATAGAAGGTACTCAGTAAATCATAGCAATTATTATCATTTCTCAGTTTGGGGCTGGCAGGCTGTGCGAGCGTCAACATGATCTCAGTAGGAAGAAGCTGAACTTCACTCTCCGTAGCTTGGTCCCTGTTCTTCAAAGAACTTGGAGTTGATCCTGATTCCCGCCACCTCACACAGACATTTTCATCCCGCCACTGTGGCCCAGACCAGTGAGGGCATATACAATCCATCTCTTGAGAATTCAGGCCTCTGTTGGGAACTGGAGAGGCAGCACGGGAGGGCGTGTGTGAAAGGCTGGGAGGAGAGTTCCCATGGACGCTAGGGATATGGGAAGGCCCTGGGGAGTTGCTGTGACCCTGGGTTTCTTCCTAAAGCAGTGAGTGTTGGGGAGCGAAGAAGGACATCAGCTGCTGGACAAATTTCCAGTGCTGAAAAAGCCCCTCTAGGACAGATACATGGGGCTGAGTCGTCTAGGGAAGGAACAAAGCCTTGGGATGGAGTGGGACTCTCACTGCTGGTGCACCCTATCTTTTCCCACTTGCCTAGCAAATACTTTTTCTTCTCCTAATCAAGAGTCTGGTGAGGAAGGTTTCAGTCCGGCTGGCTCCCTGGAGGTTGGTATTGCAGTCAAGAGTGCAAACTGGAGCCAGCTAGACCTGGGTTCAGATCATGAAACTGCCACTTACTAGCTGTGTATCCTCAGACAAGCCATTTAGCTTCTCTGAAGGTCAATTCCTTTGTGAACAAACTGCTACTTACCATATAGAATAGTTGAGAGGTCTGAAATATGAATCTCGAGTACAGAATAGTGCCAATGCCAGTCATCGTCATCCCTGCAACCTGAGTGAGCATTGGCCCCACAGATGGTATACAGAGCTCTGGAGACATGAGGAAAGTCAGTCCAGTTTTGTTTTAACTCTTGGATAAATCTCCCTGGTCTGGAAAGCATCTTTGAAGAGATCAACACTAAGAACAGGGAGCCTGTCTCTCACAACTAGGGTATTTTGTTTATATCCCACATTGTTCATAAGCGTATCTGGGCCAGGCAGGGTGGCTCACACCTGTAATCCCAGCACTTTGGGAGGCCGAGGTGGAAGAATTGCTTGAGGCCAGGAGTTTAAGACTAGCCTGGGCAATATAGTGAGATCCCATCTCTAAAAAAAAAAAAAAATTTATTGGAGGGGGGTTCAATTTCCTTTTTTTTTTTGAGACAGAGTCTCAGTGGTGGAGTCCAATGGTGTCATTATAGCTCACAGCAACCTCAAACTCCTGGGCTCAAGCGATCCTCCTGCCTCAGCACCCCCAGTAGTTGGGACTATAGGCTCGCACCATGTCAACTGGCTAGTTTTTCTACTTTTAGTAGAGACGGGGTCTCGCTCTTGCTTAGGCTGGTCTCAAACTCCTGAGCTCAAGCAATCCTCCCGCCACAGCCTCCCTGAGTGCTAGGATTACAGATGTGAGCCACCACACCTGGCTTCTACAAAAAAATTTTCTAAAAAGCTGAGTGTGGTGGCACATGCCTGTAGTCCCAGCTACTTGGGAGATTGAGGCAGGACCACTTGAGTCTGCAGTGAACTATGATTGGGACACTGCACTCCAGCCTGGGCAACAGAGACCTGGTCTCCCCCCGCCCCCCCCAAAATGTATCCAAGGCAGTATAACTTGGGGGAGAACCCAGAGTCTCTGCCCATCCTTGCTTCAATATCTCTCTCTCAGTTCTCCACATCAAGCCTGTCTCTGACCCAGCCACTTATGGCCATGGAAAATAGAAGACTGAATCTAGTTAGGAGCTCCCCTACCTCTGGCCTTTCATTAGTTTCTAGCGCCTGGAGCTCTGGCCTGGAACTCAGCAGATGGGGGGTTAAGACCGATGCCCTGTCCTATCTCCTCCCCTCTCCATCTCTGACTTCAAAGTCGCCATAAAGCCCAAGTCGCTGCTTCCCTGACCCCATAGTGGCAGCTCCATCAACAGCTCTTAGCCAGTTCAAAACAGCAGACGCTGAGCCCCGGCCCGGCCGCTTGCTCTCTACTTTCTAGTCATCTCCTAGGGTAAGCACCAGCATGCCAAGGGCCAGTGGGGCTACCCGTCATTGCTCCTCCAGCAGAGGAGGAAGGCCAACTAGGAATAGGGCAGTTGTCTCAAGCAGGGATTGTTTGTGTCATGGTCAGACTTAGAAGGCATCCTACTGGCAGAACCCCGGGTCTGAGGACTGGGATTCTGGGACACTGTCTAGTTTGTGATCAGAGCAGACATTTATAGGGGTTAGCAAGTGGAGCGATAGGGTTTCCAGCCCAGGGATAGAGTTAGCAGGTTGGTAATTGTGAAGAACCTAGAAAAAGAGGGACCTGGAAACAGGGTAGCAGCTCAGGAAACAGAATTTGTTCCTTTAGTATTAATGTGCAAAATATAGGCTAAGCTATACACAAACTCATGTCAGATCATTCAAGTCTCTGGCTCTGGCGCCTTGGTAGCCAGTGTTATAACATTGTCTGGGATGGTTCTGGCTCCCTAGGGAGCAACCTTCACAGACCCAAGGCCACAAGGCTCAAGGACTGTTTCTCCCATCCTCGTATGTGGATTTTTCCAGCTGTTTTTCTTGGCCCAAGGATCACACCCACAAGGATGCAGATGGGGGAAGGGGAAGCAGAGGAGACAGTGAAGTCGAAATGGGCTGGGGAGGAGGCAGATGTTAGGAAGATAAAATGGGGAAATGCCACTAGTGGTCCAGCCCCCTGAGACAGGACACCTGGGAAGGACATCTTTTCAAGAAGAGGCTGTGCTTGGCAGGGTAAGGGAGGGTCTTAGCAGGTAACCCCCTCCTTTCCACGCCAGACTGAGAATCGCAGTTCTTAACTGTAGGGTGCCTCCTACTAGGACTAGGCAGAAGCCGAGGAGCCCCAGCTATTAACATCTGGGCCCAGGATTATGTCCGCTAACAAAGGCTGGTGGGTGCCATCTGAGGGCGAGGACAGCGTGTCTGAGAAGTTCCTGAGGAAGACCCGGGAATCTCCGCTGGTGCCTGTAGGTGAGTGGAGAATGGAAAGACGGGAGGGGAGGAGGCCTGAGACATCATGTCTCCTGGTGCTTTCAAAGAATGAAGCAGAGTCAGAGAACTCAAGTGGTCCTACCCACTGAACAAGGGAACCAGTGGAGAAGGTGCCAAGGGACAAACCCTTACAATGAAATGAGTTTGGATGGGTGGACATGGTGGCCCACTGAGTACCTGGGATATGGGGAAACTTGGGGCACCAATATCAGAGCCAGGATGGGAAGGGTCAGAGGGGCAGTTTGGGGTCCTCCAGGGCTTCCTTCTTCCAGGCCCTGGGAAAGTAGAACAGCTGTACCAGGATCCAGAGCCAGCGGCGGTTGGAGCAGGGCCCAGAGCAGAGTGGAGGCGGGGGCAGGAATGACGATGGGCTATTTGTATATGGGGGAGGGGCATCATTGGAGGAGGCAGTCACTTAAAAATGACATTGAAGGGAAACAACTCACTATTCCGACTTCCCTGCCCCCCACCGCACTGTTCCACAAAGATGCATGAAAGCAGCTGTTTCTCCAGGTGCCTGACTAGTGAGGAATCGCTCATCAGGCAGCACTGTGCTTGGTGGCTGTGGCCCAGGGGTCATGTTCTCTGACCACAGGCTTAGGTGGCTGCTTGGTGGTAGCAGCGTACAGGATTTACCGGCTGAAGGCTCGGGGCTCCACCAAGATGTCCATACACCTGATTCACACCCGCGTGGCAGCGCAGGCCTGTGCTGTGGGTGCGATCATGTTAGGTGAGTAGTTTGGTGGGGTCAGAGAATGAGGGCAAAACCGATCTGGCAAAGTCAGTCTGGCTTTGACTTCTGCCAGCTAAAAGGACCACGACTTAAGTCCCTGTTCCCTACACTAGGGTCTATATCAAATCCTTGGTGAAGCCCCAATACTGAGACATTTTTAGGGTTCCCTGTTTCGTCTCCTATCCCAGGCCTGTGGGGATGGTGCCCAGTGTTTCAGGACAGTTTGCTCTAGAGGTGAGAAAATCAAGTAGCAGAACATATACTGAATTTCTCTTCCCCTCTGGATCAAAAAGCAGACAGCCAGGTGCTGTGTGACAGTGGACAAAGCCCTCTCACTAAGCCTGTTTCCTTGTGTGTGACATGACGATAACCACCCCTGGCTGGCCTACTTCACAGGTTGCTGTGAGGTTTCTCACGCATATATAATGTACATGAACGTGCTTCGTGAACTGTCAGATGGGTTGTTCCCCAGGCTGTGTGGTCAGATGCTTGGAGCAGCTGTTGGGACCTGGGGCAGAAAGATAAGCGGGGAAGCGGGAGTCTCGAGGGAGCAGCTGGAGGTGGACACCTGGGAGAGCCAGGACAGGTGAAGGGTTCAATGCCAAGGGGCTTTTTTCTCCTTTCCCTCACACAGGTGCTGTGTACACGATGTACAAAGATTATGTCAAGAGGACAGGACACGATGCTGGAGAGAAGTAGGTCTCCTATAGGATCTGGGGCAGTCAGATGCCCCCTAAACCAATCCCTGGAATGCTCCCAATAAAGTAGTTTTTAGGAAAATCAACAGGCTCTTCTTCATGGGGGGAGAACAGAGTAAGGGGCTGGTGGTGGCTGGGGAGAGGACCTGGAGCAAACAGCTGGCAATCAGCGCTCTGGCCCCCAATTCCAGGGCAAGGGGCAGCAGTTTCCCAAGGAGGTGGCATGTAGACCTCTGATCCCAGGAACCCAACAATGCTAGCTCAGGTCCCACCCACAAGCAGCATGGAGTGGGAGTGCGAGGGCGAGGGCAGTGGAAGGGCCTCGATGCTCATGGGAACACTGCATGCGTTCCTCCTACCACAGGCTGCTTCCCTGGGGACCTAGGCAGGAAGCAGGCTGCAGCTGGGAGCAGAGGCAATAAAGCCTTCTGGGAGGTGACATATATTCAGAATGTAAGCGCCAGGACTAGACAGGGCGAGGGGGATGAAAGAAGCAGAGCAAGGCAGAAGTCAGAATGTTCTGTTCACTTACGAACCATGGCTAAGGTCAAACATGTAAAAAATAAAATTCCATGTAAATCCCCAAGACAGGACCCCTTGGGGTTTTGTTTCATCTCCTTCCCTTTCCCTGAGCCCAAGCTCCACTCTGTTCCCTGGGAATGGAGCCAGGCAGAGGCCACAGAAAGAAGCAGGAGGCCAAACGCTCCTCCCTCACTGGGGTTCTGAGCTGGAGGTTTGTGGGTTGTTCAAGATGGCAACAGCAACTCCCAGATACTCGCTGACAACAGGAAGGCCGAGTCCCACCAGGTCTCAGTTTCAAGTCCAAGAACTGCAGTCCACTGTAGGGAGCGGGACCTGCCGGGAGTCCCTCACTCACATGGGGTAATTGAGCACAACGTCCTGTTTGGCGAGCTCCAGCAACATAGGATCGTCGAAGAACTTGCTGATGCTCACATCTTCACTGAGGCCCTGCAGAGAAGGAGGGCACATGCAAGAGTGAGCCCTATCTGGTTGGTGCCTGGCTGAAGCTTAGGTGGGGCTGTTTCAGAAGCCCTGCCTTTAGGGTATCATCACATCGGAGGAGAAGGCCTTCCTTCCCCAGCCAGAGTGGGCCCCAGGTCTGGCTGCCCAAGGAGTGTACAGATAGCAAATCTCTACATTGGAAAAAGGTCCCTTGGGAAGACGTAAAGAGAGCTCCAGCTCCTGCTGGGAGCCCCAGGGGTTGAGGGATGGCAATAGGTCTGAGGGACACATACCTTCCTTCGACGGGTTTTGATCATGAATTCCCGGGCCAGGTGAGGAGCGGGCTGTGGCTCCAAGGGACGAATGACAATGCTCTTGTCCAGAGGATCACCAGGTACAATCTGAAAGGCAAAGGGATTTCTGATGGCCCAGGCAGCTTCCCAGAGGTCTCAGGCCCAGAAGCAGGACTCTTCTCCAGGATGCTGCATGTCTCACGGGGGGCTTGAAAGGGCAACAGGCCAGAAGAGGATCAGCCCGCACTGTTTTCTCACCTGCCAATGGTGGAAGACAGACAAGGAAAAGGCTTGTCCCTGGGTATGAGTCCGCAGATCGGTCTCAAAGCCAAAAGAGTCGATGGCCGGGATGAAAGCTTTGATGGTGTAGAGAGGGGAGCCTGGGATAGGTGCGTCCTGAGTCACGTGCCCCCTGAGACAAAAAAACAAAGGCTGAGTCCCTAGTCATACAGAGGCCAAAAGCCAAGTGGCAATATGGCTTTTGCTGCCCCCAAATGCATCCCAGCCCAGAGTTACCATCAAAGAAAGAATAACTAAGAATGCCCTACAGATAGCAGAAAAGGCTTGGGGGTCTCAACACAATTCCCTGTATAGTCAAGGGGCAGCAAGCTCTGGGCACATGACAGGAGGGTAAACAGTGACGGGACAAGGCCTACAGACATCCCCACTGCTGACTTGCCTCAGCACTTCCCACAGCAGCTCTCTGAGGAGGGGACCCAGGAAGAAATCTCAAATTTTAATCTGTATAAAAGATGGGGATTGCCTCATTCCCTTCCTACTTCCTTCTGGAAAACCAGCTCACTGAGTTTCTGGCGTGGAGAGGGTGGGGGAGGCCAATCTCTCCTGCTGGCAGGAGCGAGGTGCTTCTTGGTTCGCTACTGTCTTAGCACTGTCCCCAACATGCCTGCGGCTGCTCACCTGCGCCTGGCCAGGACAGTATAAACCGCAGAGACACAATCTGCAGGGGCCTGGACCTCTACAAAGTAGTAAGGCTCCATGAGACGAGGAGTGGCCTGCAACAGAGCAGGAAGAAAGGGCTCCTCAGCGGGGGAAGGCAGAGGAGCAAGACCCTCGATGGAGGGAAGGCTGAGGCACTGTAGTCTTCAGGCCCCCAAAACTTGTCTTCCACTTCGCTCCCTGTCCAGGGAGGCAGAGTCCCCTACCGCCCCACTCTTACCATAAGGAAGGCAGAGTAGACGACTCTCCTGGCCGTGGGGATGATTTGGCCCCCGCCCCGGTGCAGGGGCTCCTGGGCAACCACTGCATCTAGGATCTTAAACTTGACGTTCCGAATCACTGCAAAGGAGATGGGGCAGCTGGCTGAGGAAAGGTGCTGGGGCTCGTCACCCGGCCATGGCAGAGCAGAGTCTCCTGCTCACTGCAGCTGTCTTGCAGCCCCAAGAGACATGGTATAAAATTACACTGGAGGTAGCTGTTCTAATCAAACAAGGCAGGCCTGGGGCACCGAGGCCAGAAGTTAAGCACATGTCCTTAGTGTTGCTTCAGACCACGCTCAGACACATAGAGCTTTCCTAGAAGTTTATGTGCATCTTCTGCAGATCATTAAATTTTCTTGGTGTAGGAATTCTAGGAATTGCACATTTAGTGCCATGAAGTCCAATCAGGGCCTATAAACTACTCCCATCTCATCATCTTCTTGATATCCTTCCTCAAACACAGCCAAAGCCAGATCCTTCTCAGGAATGAGGAGCAAATGCCAATCTAGAAATGACTTACATTTCCAGGATGTACCAAACAGAGGTACCAGGACAGGGAAAGAGATGGGAAGCTGGCCCAGGTCATGGGATGGCCCTGTGTGGCCCATGCTGATTCCTCTGCGAGGTCCCAAAGACAGTCAGCCCACCCCAACCCACACGCCCAGGTGCAGGGACCCTCGAGGACCAGGCTGGGGGAGGCGCTGGTGGACTTACACTCATCGCAGAGGGGCCCCTCCCTGGTTCCCCACTGGAAACCTTGAACGATGCTGTCTTTCACTGAGCCAAGGAGGGCTTTATCCACCTGCACAGAAACATGAGGCCTCCTTAGCAGTCACCCTGACAACAGCGGAAGAGTTTAGAGGAAGGAGAATACAGAACACCTGTAAGGGGATATTCTCCTTTACCAGAGGACAAAAAACACTTTTGGGAAAAGAAGAACTCTTTGTAGTTTCTTCCACTCGAGAGCTAGGACACTGCCACATGGTTCCCATCAGTTCCACTGTACCTCAGAAGGCAGAGTATCATCCACTAGGATGTTGGGGCCAGTGGCATCTGGGCCAAAAGCCCAGATGGAACGGGCAGCCAGCAGATCCCAGTCGTACTTGGTCTGGAAGAACTCTCCCAGCTTCTTCCTGGGGAAAGGAGGGGAAAATGGAGGTAGCAGACTGCTCTGTGACTGCTGGCTCCTGGGGCCACAGTCCCTCATCCTACCCACACTGTGCCCAGGACAGCAAAGCGGGGAGACACAAATGCTTTCCAGGGATCTGTGGTATTAGAGAGCTAGCAGGTAAGTCATGCCATCCCCATCGGCCTTCAGCCCTGGCATCAGAGCCATGTTCTCACCTGTTCCACGTGATCTGGACCACCTCGTTCTCTATGTCCTCCGCGAGGCCCTTCTCAAGAGGCTCAGCAATCATGGTGATCTTGTTCCTAGTCAGAATGGAAATGGGTGATGACGAGGGTTAACAGGACTAGCAGAAGGGACATCCTAAGGAAAGGGTAACACAGTAGACAGCTGAGCCAGCGACAGCAGGGAAAGCCACAGGGGTAGGGTAGAGCAAAAAGGGGTCATCTTCTGTTTCCTTTCGTTTGAATCGACCAGTCTTTAAAAAGCAAGGTTTAGACTTAGAGGTCTCTTTTTCCACAGTGCTGTGGCTGGGCTGGAGTTGGGGGCTAGGGGGAGTGTCCTTGAGGCTGTCAGCCCCAGGGACACTGTGCTCCCAGCTTACTTCTTATTGGGTGTTTCAGCAAAGCACTTGAGAGAGGATGTTTCCACCACCGTCTCACAAAACGTGACAACTGGGTCAGCCACCTGGGAAACAGAAAATATTAATAAATTGTTGAAGCGAGGTCTAATTTTGTTGGAAGGACAACCTTCTACCTAAGGGAATTCTGAAGCTCCTTTGACACTACCTCTGTGAAAACCCCATCTGCCTTAATCAGCAGAAGTGACAAGTACAGCAGCAGTTTAAAAGAGCTGTCCATACTGTCACTAAAAAGACTGAGAAAGCTTAGCGTAGTAAAGAAATTATATTCCTGAGCCAAGAGTAAGTGGGGTATCAAATGAGGGCTTTAATTATAGTCTTGTAAGGTAGCCTTCACCATGCGTTCAACTGTCCACCACCATTCCTGGCACGATGCCTGTAGCTCAGACAGAGCTGGCGCCACAGCCCTGGTAGCAAGCACCTGTTCCATCCTCAACCCCTAATGCCTGGGAGTGCAGCTCCTCCCTGACACCCCCACACGGCCTGCTGCCAGGGAAACCCAGTGTTTCTCTAGCACCAGTCCTGGGCACATCAGTAGGAGAGTCTTGCATTGAGGGTACTTGTCCCAGTGCCACAGGGCCTTGGAGAAAATGTGTGTCTCAACTGGGAGATGGAGGCCAAGCAACGCATGGTTTAACTGAGGGGCTATATCAAGGCTTGACAATGAATCCAGGAGAGCCAGTCCCACCTGTTTTTTTTCTTTTTTTGACATGGAGTCTCGCTCTGTCTCGCTCAGGCCAGAGTCCATGGGCATCACCATAGCTCACCGCAACCCCAAACTCCTGAGCTCAAGCAATCCTCCTGCCTCAGCC